CTTTGGCTTCTCAGTGCTCTAATGCAATACTCAGAGTCTCATCTGACCTCCATCTTGGTCTTTTCTTCTTCTTTAGCCTTTGTAATGCTCTTTGGCATTCTTCATGGATGATTTTCTTGATATCCTCCCAGAGCTCATTTGGTTACGCTCATTGGTGCTCAAGTCCTTAAACCTGTTCCTGAGATAATTTTGACATTCGAGTGGGACAGACTTAAGGTCAAATCTTGGTTTCTGTGGACTTGACTTAATTTTCCTCAACTTCAGCTTAAACGTGCATATAAGTAGTTGGTGGTCTGTGCCACAATCAGCACGCGGCCTGGTTTTCACTGCTAATATTGAGCTTCTCCACCGAGTCTTTCCACAAACGTAATCGATTTGATTCCTATGCATACCATCAGGTGAGATCCATGTGCATAGCCTGCGTTTTTGTTTCTTATAAAAGGTATTTGCAGTGAATAAATCATTGAATGTGCAGAACTCTATCGTTCTATCTCCAGCCTCATTTATTTCACAGAGTCTGTATTTTCCAGCTACTAAACCTTCTTCTCTGTTCCAACTTTTGCTTTCCAGTCTCCCATTATTATCAATGCATCTTGATTGCATGTTTGATCAGCTTCTGACTGCAAAAGTTAGTAGAAATCTTCTATTTCCTCCTCTTTGGCTCTAGTTGTTGGTGCATATATTTGAATGATAGTGGTATTCACTGGAATTCCTTGTATGTGTATGGTTATTATCCTATATCACTCACCACATTGTATTTCAGGATGGATCTAGAAATAACTTTTTAAATTATGAAACCAACCCCATTTTTTTCTCACCTTTTCATCCCCAGCATAGTAAATCTTATAATCGTCTGATTCAAAACATCCCATGCCAAGCCATCTCATTTCGCCTATAGCTAGTATGTCTGCTGTAAGCCGACACTAGTGATTGGAACATGGAACGTGAGAAGCATGAATGTAGGAAAATTGGACATTGTTAAGAAAGAAATGGAACACATGAATATTGACATTTTAGTTACTGGAGTTTACAAATCAACTTGCTGCTTGTCCAAATCCTCTTTTGTGGGCCTGTCAGTTTTGTCTTTCACTTCCCTTAAACCCATTACCACCCTTCCACCTGTTTCATTTCTTGTGGTTTAGGGTCCCAGATGATTGGTGTTTCATCAGAAAGAGAGCTTACTCTTTGTTTCTTGTTCTTCGAATTTTTTTACAGGGGTGTAGTTTTATAAGGAGAGGAAAAGGAAAAGCCTTTCTGATTTGCTGGAAACCTTTGAAGGCTCTCCCTTGTTTCTTGTTTTTCCCCTATGATGCCTTACATCTAATTTAGCACCAAATCCTGTGCAATCTATGTCTCTGTTTATCATCTAGCCATCTGTGTCTCTTATCTACATTCATCGTCTTAACTTGGGTCCCCATTTTGCACTGAATGATTTCAGCAGCCTCTTAACTTAATGTCTTCTTACTAACAACATTGACCTGACAGTCTTGCTAGTACTATGTTCTTTCCAAAATGCAGCTGTGACTAAACAGTGACCCATTTAAAACCATTCAAAGCCTGCCATGGCATCAGAGCTCTTGAGGTTCGCAAGTTCATCTCTTCTTATTTCCCTCCTTTGTGTGGCCAACTCTGACAACTGAAGAACATCACTCCAGTGGAACTTCTAAAATTTCTTTTCTGATCCACTATGTTGTTTGTTATTAGGTACTGTCAAGTCCAGTATGACTCATGGTGACTCTGTGAACAAAAGATCTGAACCCTGTTCCGTCCTGTGCCTGCCTCA